AATGGACCAATCTGTTATTATGACCATCATTTTTAGAAGGGCTGGGCTAACAGATGTGAGGAATTAAAATGAAGTTCAAGTTTGTATTTCATTTTCTCATTCCCCTTAAATGGCAAATGGTTTAAATATTAACCCGATTAGGAAAACATTTGCATATTTATTATGAAACTGATTGCTTTACCTCATTCATTTTAGTAATTTTACTCATGACTGCCCATTTCATTCTTCTTAATTTTTGCCTCTCAAACTGTGGTCCTAGGATCAACAGCATCAGCATCACTTGGAAGCTGGTCAGAACTACAGAATTTTAGTTCCCATACTGAATCAGGATTTGCATTAAAAAAGAATCCCCAAGTGATTTCTATAATATAAGCCTTGAAATCTGAATAACATAGTTCTAAACTGTTGATTTTTCTTATAGTGTTACAAAAAGTTTATTTGCTTTCAATTTGTATTTAATTTATGTCCAGATAGTAACTTTTAACAAGAATAATTCAATTCAGATAAGTAAGTCAAATCAATATATACATGTTATTCTATATAGATTGTTTACTAGTATGTCACAGACTTCTTATTGTACTATTCATTTTTTCTCTTCATTCAACATCTTTGCCTTAGCATATAACCATTATGGTGAAAGTATTCTCTGTAATTAAACAACTAAAATACTAGGAGATCAGATTCTCCACATAATTGTGGAAAAATGGGAAAGATTCAAAATAGGTTCAACCAAGGTTGAACTTGAAAGTTCCTTAGTAGGAAAAAAAAAAAAAAAAAAAAAAAGACCAGAATGACTCTATCCTCCAAAATAATAATTTGTTGTTGTTGTTGTAAACCTCACTCAAGGATATTTTTTCCATTGCTTTTCAGAGAGAGAGTGAAAGGAAGGGAAGGAGAGAAAGAGAGAGAAGGAAGGAAGGAGGGAAGGAGGGAAGGGGAGGGAAGGAAAGGGAAGGGGAATAGAAAGGAAAGAGGGAAGGAGGGATGGAGGGAGGGACACATACACACATCGATTTTTTGCCTCCTACATATACTCCATGGGGTTGGGGTGTGTCAGGGAGTGAACCCCCAACTGAGGTACGTGCCCTTGATTGGGAATCAAACCAGAGACCCTTTGCTGTGCAGGCCGATGCTCCAACCACTGGACACACTGGCCAGGACCAAAATAATATATTTTTATACTTCATATACCTTTTTTTTTTTACTAAGAGTAGCGCATTTTTTTTATTTTTTATTTTATTTTTATACTTTTTAAAAATTTTTTAAAAAATCAATCTTTATTGTTCATATTATTACAAAGGTTCCTCATTTCTTCCCCCCTCCACCAGGTTCCCACTTCCCCTCCAACACAGTTTATGTTCAGTCTCTTCCTCCCTCCCTTTCCCCAATAGTAAATCCCTTTTCAGATAGTAAATCAGTTACTTAGCATTTTCTCGTATCAATAATACCTCCACATGCCCAATGATACACTTCACACAAAAGACATTTCCAAATAGGTCAACCAACCTCATCCAGGCCCCGCACAAGGCACTCACAAATCAACACCCCAGCGCTATACTAACTCAACATATCCAGATCTAAGCTTTCATCACTTGATTCAGCAGACCCTCAAGTTCCCGCAAAAGTTTCCAGCCATGTCTGAGAGGCAGCCTTGGGGCGGGGGCAGGTGAGGAGCGAGCTGTTCCAGGCCTGGCTGCTCCAGGCCTGGCCTCTGTTGCTCTGGTCCATTCCACAACCAGCTGCTCCGGGTCTGGCCACTGCCACTCCCAACCTGGCCGCTCCCAGCCTGGCAGCTGCTGCTCCAGGCCTGGCCGCACCCGACCCGGCAGCTCCGGGCCTGGCCGCTCCCAGCCTGGCAGCTGCTGCTCCGGGCCTGGCTGCACCCGACCTGGCTGCTCCGGGCCTGGCCGCTCCCAGCCTGGCAGCTGAAGAGTAGCGCATTTTTAAAATAAGAAATTCACATGGAACTTAGTGTAGTGCTTTAGAAGGCTCACCTTTTATTATTATTATTGCAAAACAGAACAAATCTTATTTTCTCGTTCGTTTTTCAAAAAAATAAATAAATTACAGACCTAAGCTGAAACTGATCACAGGAGGTAAGATGGTTTAGCAAAAATTCAAAAGAAGGTACAAATGTTCACTTTTCAAAAGCACTACAAAAGCCAACCTCATCTATTTTCTTTCTTTTTTTTAATATATATATTTTATTAATTTTTTTCAGAGAGGGAGAGAAATAGAGAATTAGAAACATTGATGAGAGTCATTGATCAGCTGCCTCCTGCACACTCCCTACTGGGTATGTGCCCACAACCAGGTACATGCCCTTGACTGGAATCGAACCCGGGACCCTTCAGTCTGCAGGCTGACGCTCTATCATCCACTGAGCCAAACCGGTTTCGGCAACCTCATTTATTTTCATTGCAGCCTGGCTTTATGCTGAACATTTGAAAACTGGAAAAGTGCTATTCTGTATAATTATTGTAATTATGAAGAGCTTTGCAAAAAGAAGGGGAAAGATGTAATGACAATCAACTTCAAATGGTCAAATGCCCATGGCCTCTGGTTTACAGGATGAATCTAAGAATTAACCCTGAATCTGTACCAATGCACCCAAACCAGATGTTTCGGGAGAATGGGTTTATATGGTATTAAGAACAGGTATCAAGGAATTTGTTGGGTAGTCTCAAAAATTAAATATGCCCTTAAACTCCCCAGGTTAGTTTGTTTTATATATATATAAGTTGTCCCAAAAATGTATACACATAACTTTGAACAATCATAAAGGCAGTGTTTATTAAAATACATTGCATTTTCAAAGTTGCCATATTAACTGATAAGGTGTGTAGATATTTTTTGGGGGACAACCTATATAAGATCTTTTTATCGGTAAGTTATTCTTGCGTTTAACTCTTTATTCACCCCATTTTGCATTTGCAGCCTATATAATTTTTCAGGGTACAGCATTCCACAAGAGTACAACTAGGTATTTAATGCCTTTTTTATGCTCCTAGATATAATGATTTTTAAGCTTTAAGTAGTGCCCCTAGTTTTAATATTCTAGAATTTGGTGAACAATTCATTAAGCCCCCTCTCTACTCACATTCATAGCAAAGTCTCTCAACTATGCACATTGGCTCCACTTCTTCACCTACAGTCACTCTTCAGCCCACCCCATCTGGTTTCCACTCCATTCACTCTTAAAATTTCTCTTGGTAAAGACCATAAGGACTTTCGTGCTGCTAAATCCAATGGACATGCTATAGTCATCATTTTCTCTTTGTTCTCTCCCTCTTAAAATAACTCTCCTGGATGCCTCCCAACTCTCTCCCTTGTCAAACTTTAAGGGACTCTGTACCCTCTACCTAACCTACAAATGCTACCTTGGGGCTTGGTAGAATCTCAGATAATCTCATAACTATAAACATCCCTTTCATGCTGATGACACACTTCCATGCCCACCACACTTTTACATCTTCAGATCAGATCTTTCTTTCTGAGTCTAGACCAGTACATCCAACTACCTATTCAACATCTCCACCTGTATGCTTCATAAATATATTTAAACTCAACTCACTAAAAACTGAAGTCTTGGATTATTCCCTCACTGTTTGTCTTCCATCCCCAAATTATCTACCCTAGAAACCCAGAAGTCTTTTATTCTCACCACTCCATCCAATCAATCTCCAATCCTGTCTTTTTTGCTTCCAAAAGAGATTTTGTGTGCTCAGTTTCCCACTTCTACTGCCATCCTCCCCTCTCACCCTTACCCTCCAGTCTAAGTCATTATCACCTACCACATTGCAATAGCATTATAAATGACCTTCCTGAATCTACTCATATTCTTCTCCAATTTCACCTCCATACTTCAGCCAGAGTGATCTTCCAAAGGTGAAAATACCCCTACTTAAAACCCTTCAGTGGCTTCCTATTGGTTTTGGGACAATGTTCATAAGGTATCTATGTATACTTCTCCAGAGAACCTCATTCTCCTTGTTCTCCATAAGCACTAGCCCTACTCTTTTTCTATGTACATTACACATGCTAAGATTTCTCCAGATGCAGGGTCTTTGCACACGTTGTGTCCTCTACCTGGACTATTAGTTTTGTTTTACTCTTCTACCCACGGCTGTCCAAATCACAACACACACACACAACACACACACACACACATGCACACGCGTGCACACACACACACACACACACACACACACACACGCGCGCATGCGCTCATAACCCAAAACCCCACAGGCCACATGCAATAATTAAAATAGACCAAAAGGAGCTGACTTCTTAGTAACCCATAGTGTTAAAACATAACACTAGGGCAAGAAATTGTAATAATAATAATAATAGCAAACCCTTATATAATTTACACGAGGAACTCTTTTAGATGAGTTATATATTTAAATATACTCAATACAACAATCTGATGAAGTAGGTATTATTATAATCTCTATTTTAAGATAAAGTAACTAAGGTACAGGGAGGATAAGTAACTTCACGAAGGTCACAGGTATTCAGTGGCAATGCTAGGATTCCAATTGAGTCCTTCTGTGTGAAGGCTTGGCTGTCCATAACTTGGACTATCCAAACCTCCCTTCCACATAAGGGATGTGGAATTGGTTTACATAATTATACTGCTATTTAGATAAGTACTAGTTGTCCACTAGACTAAAAACATAAATGGGGGTAGAGATCATTTATATTTTGTCCACTGATATGTCTCAATCTCCTGAATAATATCTAACACATAATTGATATTCAAAGATATCTCTGAATAAGTTATTTGAGAACGTATTGGGTTTCAATTATGCCTTATACTACTATCTATTAATTTTCTGTTAGCTATCTGCTAACCATTCCTGCCAATCCCTCGGTGTCCCCTCCTCCTCTCCTCCTCTCTCCGTGGCATTCGGGACCATCTGTAAGGTATGGCGGCGGCACACCTCCAACCCCGCGGGCGTGAGCGCCTCGCGGCCTTTCCTGCCCTCAGGCCTCACCTTCCACGAAGGGGAAGAGGCCATCCCAGCTTCCAGGCCAGGTCCAGACGGCTCTCCTGTGCCCAAGGGCATGAAACGGCCATACCGCTCCAGAGGCCACTGGGCCGCGTCTCCACCTGGCAGCCCGAGGCGCGCCTGCTTTCTCCCCGCCTCCTCCGCCATTTCTGGCCCTCACAGCCAGCGGGCGTCTGCCAATCACGCAGCTGATCAATCAGGAAGTGCGGTTGTGTAGGGCCCGCCTTCCCCTGAGTGCAAGCCAATGGGCAGGCGCTAAAGCCTCCCGCAGGGGCTTTCGGGTTGTGGGTGTGGTTCTGGACCTCCAGGGGCCTTGTCCTCTTGGAGGGCAAAGTGGAGGTGGTGACTTCCAACTGGAAGTGGGCCTGGGCCACTTATCAGTGATAGTTGATTCCACCTTTGCAGTATTCTGGCCCTCACCTTCCCTCAGGAGACATTTACGAAAACTGGCCAACACCCGGTAATCGTATGCAGGACGAGACCGCTCTCTCAGGCTGCCAAAACCATTGTGTTCTCCTTCCCCGCAGCAACCTTTCAGATGATAATGACCCTGCCACCTCTAACCTACCACAACTCAACCTCCAGTAGGATAATTTCCTCATCATACTGCAGCCTCCTAGAAATACTGCCTTCAGATCACCAAGTTCTTTCCAAAAGAGAACTTTTGGATGGAATGCTGCCATCAAAAAGGTGTGTCTCAAACAGTAGGTCAATTAAGTGGCAGATCTGGGAGATCTGTAGTCTACATCTGTTATTTCTGGTGATTAAATAAAAAAGCAAAATAGGGATTATTTCCCCTATTGAACAGATGGAGGTAAAATAAGCTCCTAAGAGAAGAAGCAGTTTGTCCAAGGTTATACAGCCAGAGTACAAGTGTACTTCTACTCCACAATCTGTCCATATATCCACTCCACTTGCAAAGAATTTAGTCTGTCAAATCCAGTCTGTCAATCAGAAGCAATGTATATAGAAAGTGGGGGCTATATTAACCATATTCATAAAATAAAGTTATAATGCAAACATTTTTTTAAACTATTAATATACATGTCAAAGGGTATTAAATGCACAATGGTTAGAGAAGTGGTAATTTATTCACTCTATACAGCACTGATTAAATATGTACAGTATGCAGCTATGCTAGTCCACCATAGTGGACAGAAATGGTTAAGGCATGCATCTAGCCTTTTAGTACCTCAAGATCTAATAAGGAAGGCACTGACACTGCCATGTGAAAGATATAAACTGTGGGCTCAAAGGATTCAGATGAAGTAAAAACTATGAATGAGAATGGCAATGGCATTTCAGTCCTAACTTGAAGGGTGAGAAAGTTTCCCAAGTGAAGATGGAAAAAAAAAACAAAACCCTGGGATTCCATATCAAGACCAAGTTTAGGAGCAAGAGTTGCAGAGATGAGGATAGTGTCATACAGCCAGAAGGCAAGGTTTGGTGCAGATGAGGCCACAAAGGTAAGCTGGGCAGAAGAGCACTGAAGAGCAGCTAAGAAGAGCGAACTTTATAGGTGGTGAGGAGCATGGAAAATTTGCATGGGGCAGTAACTATCATAATGGTTGTCCAGGCAGGTTAATCTTTCAGTGCATATAGAATAAATTGCTCCTGAAATTTATTTATCCAAGGCAAGGGATATTTGTCACTTATCTTTTCATTAGTCCAGTAGAGCTTGAAGAGGCCAGATTTCAGAAACTGCTGAAGGTCCTTAAATGACACAGCCGTAGTGCATTTAATATAGTAGTAAATGGTCAGAAACTTGGTTTCAAGCCCAGCCCTACCACTTGCCAGCTGTTACACTTAACCTCTTGTAAAATAATAAGGATTAGTAAATACCTACCTACAGGGTCTTAGGGAGGATAAAATAAGATCATTTGTGGAAAAATACTTGGTAAATTACAAGGCAGCATACATGTTGGTACTTTCCTTTTGCATGGTTAAAATTACTTCCTGTGACTCCCTACAGGCAGAAGGATGGAAGTGGGAGTCTGACATTTGGTCTCAGAGGTTCTCACCTTCCAGGTCCAGGGCTGTGGATGTTGTCAGACACCCTTCACAAGAGCAGATGGTGTTCACAGTTGGGAGCCTATCAGTGCCCAAGGACACCTAGGGCATTGCTGGGTTCCCATCTTTAAGCTCCCATCCTAGACAATACACCTATGCTCAAACTTCTGGGGCAACAAGCATTTGCCAAGAACAGACCATGTCTGCAAGGAGAGATAGAAAGCCACCATTTATAACAGAGGCTCATTAAAAACCTATGATAGTAACAAATTCAAGAAGTCCTAGACACTGTACTAGGTGCTGGGGATATAATAGAGATAATAGAGAAAAAAACATACGTGGCTTCTAACCTTCTGAAGCTTATAATCTAGTGGGAAGGCAGAAAATGAAGCAAATTACTTCATATTTTAATGGCTGTTGTGTTTTTTAAAATATATAATTTTATTGATTTTTCACAGAGAGGAAGGGAGAGAGCTGGAGAGCTAGAAACATCCATCAGTTGCCTCCCGCACCCCCCCCCCCCCCCCCCCCCCCCCCCCGAGGACGTTCCCGCAACCAAGGTACATGCCCTTGAATGGAATTGAACCAGGCGCCCTTCAGTCTGCAGGCCGACACTGTATCCACTGAGCCAAACCAGTTAGGGCTGTTGTGTTTTCTTTTTTAAAGACAAATCTGCAATATATATTAGGTTATAATTTTATAAAATAAAAAGCACAGATCTTAAATGTTCAATTAGATGAGATTTGACATCTACATACACTCATGGAACCACCATCCCAAACAAGAAACAGAATATTTTTTAAAAGCTCCAAATTCCCTTAGGAGTTCCTCCTTCCAGTCAATTTCCAACTCCCAAGGGCAATCTCTGATCTGATTTTTATCGCAATAGAGTGGCTTTTCTGTTCTGGACTTAATATACATGAAACCATACAGAATGTACTCTTTTGTATCTGTTTCTTTTGTTCAATATAATTGTCTTTTAGCTTCATCCATATTGGTGTGTGTATAGTATTTCATCCTTTTTACATTCTATACTATATAATAAAGATGTAACATGCAAATGGTTGTTACCCTGTGAAGTAAAATGACCAACCACATAATGATCGGATCACCAGGAGGGTGGGGCAGTGAGCAGCAAGCAGGCTGTGGAGAGCTACAGGAGGGGGCAGGGCAACAAGCTATGGGTGGCGAGGGGTAGAGGGAGCTACAGGAGGGCTGGGTAGTGGGCAGAAAGCTACTGGCTACAAGCGGGTGGTGTAGAGCTATAGGAGGGGGCAGGGCAGCAAGCTGTGAGAAGGGTCAGGGGAATGAGGGGTAGGGGGAGCTACAGGAGGGTGGCAGTGAGCTACTGGTGAGCTACTGGCGCATGGATTCTTGTGCAGGGCTACTAGTTGTAAGATATCACAGTTTTTTAATTCTTCACCTGATAGTGGATGTGTGGGTTGTTTTCTGTTGGTTAAGCTGTTATAAACATTTTGTACCAATATTTTTGTAGATAGGTGCTATTATTTGTCTTCAATATATACCTAGGAGTGGGATTTCTGGACTCTAAAGAGATACATGTTTAACCCTATAAAAAACAATCCTAAAAACTGCCAAAGAGTTCTCCATAGTGGTTGTACCATTTTGCACTCCTACCAGAAAAATATAGGAGTTCCAGTTATTCTCACTGACATTTGGATTGTCAAGCCTTTTTTAGTTTTAGCATCTCTAGTGGATGTATAGTAATATCTCATTAATTTGCATTCCCCTGATGATGAATAATGTTGAGATCCATTTCAAATGTCTTACTAGCCATTTGTATACTGTATTCTATGAAATGTCTGTTCCAATCTTTTGTCATTATTGATTTGTCAGAGTTCTTTACATATTATAGATATAGTCTTTGGTGAGATAAATGTATTGAAAGTATTATTTCCTGTGCTATGACTTGTCTTTTCATTTTCTTATTAATGTTTTTCAAAGGACAGAATTATTTTATTCTGAATGAAGTTCAATTTATTAGTTTCAGATGCATTTTATTTATTCTTTCTGTGTAAGAAATCTTTGCCTATCCTAAGGTTTTACACATATTTTCCTTTGATTTCTTGTAGATAGTTTATAGTTCTATCTCTTACATCTAGGCATATGCTCGCTCTTTCTTTCTTTCTTTCTTTCTTTCTTTCTTTCTTTCTTTCTTTCTTTCTTTCTTTCTTTTAATGCTCACCTTACGATAGTTTTGTTTGTTTGTTGGTTGGTGTTTTTTTATTTTTTTATTTTTATTTTTATTTGAGAGTGAAATATCGATTGGTTGCCTCCCATACATGCCCCGACTGAGGACGAAACTTCAACCTAGATATGTGCCCTGACAGGGAATTGAACCCCCAACCTTTTGGTGTACATGATGATGCTCCAACCAACTGAGACACCCAGCTAGGGTAGGCATATGCTCTTTCTTGCATTAAATTGTTTGTGTAAAATGAAGTAGAAATTAAGGTTCATTTTCCCCCCATATAGTCATAGAATTAATGTTACAGAGGAATGGCCGTCAACCAATGGCTGTTGGAAATGGGCATGTAAATATCACAATTTCCTCACTCCTCAGGTGCTGTAACTCTGAGATTTGTGTAATATTCTGTTTCCCAGAGTTCACCCAGTAACTTGCTTGGTAATAATATTTTTATAGCTTCTTTTCCCTGCCTTCTTCTCCTACCAGTGTCTCCTGGGATCATCTTTAAAATAAATTCCTTGACCTTGAATCTTTGTCCTAGGGTTAACTTCTGGAAAACCCAAACTAAGACAGTGACAAGCAGGCATATATTTAGCTACAATATAGCTACATACAAGAAGATGGTACAAAAGGCATTGCTAGGAAGGAGAAGTCACTCTCACATCCAAAGCAGACCTTCAAATGCTTTGCTGACCAGATGTAGCCAAATAATAGCATTTGTGATCAGGACCAACTAATGACAGGTGACTAAATCCTTTTACTGTAGAACTATTTTTCAGGTGGCTTAATGATAGAGAGCTGCTGGTTGCCACAGTAGTCAGCATCACTGTTGGAGGCAGGTTGGAAGACTGGTTTTGGAATCCTAGCATATCCCTTTCAAAGCAGACCAGGGACCACATATATCCCTTCTCCCTAGGATATTGAATAAAC